GAAGTTGCTGCACAACTTCGTCTCCCTCCAGAACGAAGCCTTCGCGTGGAACGACGACGAACGCGGCTGCTTCAAGCCCGAATTCTTCCCCCCCGTCGACTTCCCTGTCGTCGCGCACACCCCCTGGGTGGAGCGGAACATCCCGATACCCCCCGGACTCTACGACGAAGTGTGCGCGATCCTGAAAAAAGAAGATCGCGGCCGGTGTGTACGAGCCGTCCAACTCCGCATATCGATCCCGCTGGTTCTGCGTCCTCAAGAAGGACGGGAAATCCCTTCGTATCGTGCACAGCCTAGAACCGCTCAACAAAGTCACAATCCAGCACTCCGGAGTACCCCCGACGCCCGACCACCTCGCGGAGCAATTCGCGGGGAGGGCGTGCGGGGCCATCTTCGACCTCTACGTCGGCTTCGACGAGCGCCTCATCAAGGTCTCGTCGCGAGACTTCACCACCTTCCAGACTCCCTTCGGGGCTCTCCGACACTGCACGCTACCCATGGGCTGGTGTAACTCGGTCCCCATCTTCCACGACGACGTAACCTACATCCTCCGAGCCGAAATCCCCGACGTCACCGTCCCCTTCATCGACGACTGTCCCTGTAAGGGACCCGAGTCCGACTACCGGGACGAGGGGGGCACCTACGAGACAATCCCCGAGAACAAAGGCATCAGGCGTTTCGTTTGGGAGCACTTCCAGAACGTCAATCGCGTGGTTCAGAGGATGAAGTACGCCGGCGGGACCTTCTCTGGGACGAAGTCGCAGGTCTGCTGCCGGGAGATCACGGTCGTCGGCCATCGCTGCACCCCCGAAGGACGACTCCCCGACGAATCGCGCGTCGCGGTCGTCCGCAACTGGGGCCCGTGTAAGGACCTCTCGGAGGTCCGAGCGTTCCTCGGCACCATCGGCGTAGCCCGAATCTTCATACGCAACTTCGCGCACCGCGCCCACGCTCTAGTCCACCTCACGCGGAAGGGGGTCCCCTTCGAGTTCGGGCCCGACCAACTCAAAGCGCAGCGCGACCTCATAGAAGCACTCCTCGCGTCCCCCGCACTCCGCGCTATCGACTACCACTCCAGCGCGCCCGTCATCCTCGCTGTGGACACCTCTTACATCGCGGCGGGATACCACCTCTGCCAGTGCGACCCGGATGACCCGCGCAAGCGGTACTATAGTCGCTTCGGTTCCATCACCCTCAACGAGCGCGAGGCGCGGTTCTCACAGCCCAAGCTAGAAATCTACGGCCTCTATCGCGCACTCCGAGCCCTCAAGCTCTACCTCATCGGCGTACGGAAGCTCATCATCGAAGTCGACGCTCGCTATATCAAGGGCATGCTACGCAACCCCGACGTCGCGCCTAGCGCTAGCATCAACCGCTGGATAGTCACCATCCTCACGTTCCACTTCGAGCTCGTCCACGTACCCGGGACGTCGCATGGCCCCGACGGTCTCTCAAGGCGCCCCCGGCAGCCTGACGACGGACCCGCGGATGACCCCGACGACGACGAATTCGAGGACTGGGTTGATCGACTCTACGGATTCCTCCACCATATCCTACCTACCCCCGCCAGCGCACGTCCCGCGACAACTCCACTCCAACTCTTCGCCCTCACGGACCCGACCGGGGACGGTCGGAATTTCAGTCAGGGGGAGGAGCAGACCGAACAGCAGCAGGACGAGCACGCCGCACAGCAACACGTCCCTCAGGTCAGCGGCCCCGAAGCACCGCTGCAAATCCCGACGTCGGAACACGCGCAGAAGGCGGACAAACGACTCGCGCTAGTCGCGACATGGCTGCGAACCCTAGCACGCCCCGAGGGCTTGACGGACAGCGCATACACGGCGTTCATCAAGTACGCGCAACAGTTCTTCGCGGACGACGACCGCCTGTGGAAGAAGGACCCCCAAGGCGCCCACAAGCTCGTAGTCTGGCCAGCCAAGAGGCCCGAAATCCTGCGCCTAGGGCACGACACGCTCGGTCACCGCGGACGTTACGCGACTCTACAAGCCATCGGGGAGCGCTTCTGGTGGCCCTCGATGAGAGACGACGTAACTTGGTACGTTAGGACGTGCCACATTTGCCAGACCCGTCAAGTCCGCAAGGTCCTGTTGCCCCCGACGGTCGCGCTCCCCGCCTGTCTTTTCGGACGAGTCTACATAGACACGATGCTGCTCCCCGTCTCTAACGGCTTCAAGATGATCATCCAAGCCCGATGCTCGCTCTCGTTCTACGTCGAGTGGAGGATGCTCCGAGTCGAAAACGCGAAGACTATCGCGGATTTCATCTTCCAGGATATCCTCTGTCGATGGGGCGGACTCTCCGAGATCGTGACCGACAACGGGGCCGCGTTCGTGAAAGCCGTAGCCCGGCTAGAGAAGCAATACAACGTCCACCACATCCGCATCAGCGGTTACAACTCCCGTGCCAACGGTGTAGTTGAGAAGCCGCACTTCGACGTCCGCCAGGTCCTCTACAAGGCCGCGGACGGGGTCCAGAACAAGTGGTCGCAGGTCGCGCACTTCGCCTTCTGGTCCGAGCGGGTGACCATTCGCAAGCGAATGGGGTGCTCGCCTTACTACGCGGTGACCGGCTGTCATCCGATACTCCCTTTCGACATATCCGAAGCCACGTACCTGATGCCCCCGCCCGAGTCGCTCGTCTCCACCACCGAACTCATCGCGCGCCGCGCCATCGCTCTCCAGAAGCGCCAGGAGCAGCTCGCGGCGCTACAGTCGGACGTCTATCGCGCGCGCATCCGCGCCGCACAGAAGTTCGAACAGGACAACGCCGCGACTATCCGAGACTTCGACTTCAAGTCGGGGGACCTCGTCCTGATGCGCCACACCCAAGTCGAGAAATCCCTCAACCGCAAAATGCGGCCCCGATATACGGGGCCGGTCGTAGTCGTCTCCCGAAACCGCGGCGGAGCCTACGTCATCTGCGAACTGGACGGCACGGTCTTCCACAGACCTGTCGCGGCGTTCCGACTCATCCCCTATCTCCCAAGGCGCTCGATCGCGCTCCCCGACAACTTCGCCGACATCTCCCAGAAGCGGCTCTCGGAGCTAATCAACTCTGACGAGGACGGGACAGAAGACCCCGACCCGGAGCTCGTCGAGAACCAATCCGGAGACGCCGACGACGAGCTCGATCAGCCCGACGAGTAGACCCCGAGGCGCCGCGACCGCGAGAACCAGAGGCGGCGCGCGCGGAGCCGGACGCGTCGCGGGCACCTACCGTAGGCCGGCGCGCAGTCCCCCGACGCGCGGTCTTCTTCGTCGAAGTCGACGAGGCCGCGTCGGGATCGGCGGCGCGGGTTCCCTTGCGCCGCCCCGCACTGCCCTTGGAGAACACGAGCTCGGGGGCGACGAGGGTAGGCTGCGGGAATGGCTTGACGTCAACGTCACTATCACACAAGAAACGGACCTCGCGACGCACCTCGATATGCGCCCAGGAAGGCGAGAAGGGGATTGCCCCCTCCAAGCCTGGCGGGGTCGCAATCGTAGGCGGCGGGGCAGGCGACGACGGGGGGCGTACCTCGGTGGGACTCCCCGGCTCGGCGTCTGCGTCCGCGTCCGCCTCGTCGGTCTTCCCCGATGGGCCCGCGACGGTGTCCGGCTCGGCGTCCGTGTCCGCGTCGGCGTTGCCAGCAGTCCCCGACGGGCCCGCGACAGACGCCGCGGCTGGTACCGCGACCTGACCACCCGCGGGAGCCGTAGGGGCAGCCGCCGGCGACGGAATCTTGCCGCGGTACGTCGCGACGAGGGCGCCGTCGTCGCGCGGTTCGAGCAGGCCTGGACAAGACGGTTAGCGTCAAGAAATCGCGGGGGGTGGCCGAATGGACTTACAGCGGGCATAGCCCTTGGCGTCGTGGTACTGGACGAAGCGCTGAGCACGCTTCGCGGCGAGGTCCTCCGGGGTCGTGTCGGGGGCGTAGCACCCCTTCGAGTCGCGGGCGCACCTGTCGCAGGTCTGCACACCTGGGCGAAGGACGCAGGGCTCCGAGCGAGTGCTGCAATACAGACACCGCGGAGCCCCCTGTGGATGCTACAGCGTCAGTAATCCGACGTCGGGGGTGGAGGGGCGGACGTACCGTCCAGTCGCCCTCGATGACGATGGCGTCGCGCGGCGCGGGCTTCTTGCCCTTCGTCTTCTTCCCGCCCGCCTTCGTCTTCGCCGGCGGCTTCTCGCCCCCCGAAGCGGGCTCGTCAGTGGGCGCGCCCTCCGTCGGGGCGGCAGCAGAACCGGGGCCGCTGGTGGTGGCCGTGCGCGCCGACTTGCGGGGACCGCTGGCCTCCGCCTCGGTCGGGGCCTCCGCCTTGCGCTTACCAGCCCGAGTGAGCGGGGGGGGGCGTCGGATGCCTCCGACTGGACGCGCCCTTTCGCCTTGGACCGAGTGCGCGCGGAGGGCACCGGGGGGGCCGGTTCTTCAGCGGCTGGCAGGTCGGCAGCCGGTTCTCCAGCCACCGACTCGTCGGGGCTCTCCTAGAAGCAGCGTCAGCGCAAGAAGCAGACGCGGGGGCCCCGACTTACCGGGAACTTGTTCTTGAGGGCCAGCAGGCGCTCCTGGTAGGTGGGCGTCGTGGGCGGGGCGGTGTTGCGGAGGGCTGCGATCACACGCGTTGCCGCGGCCGAGAGCGTCGGGGTGTACCATGCAGGCTTCGGCTCCGGCAGGAAGGGGCTTACCACCCGGACCACGTACTCCGCGAACTCGTCCCCTTCGGCCCGAGGGCCTCTCTCGGGAGCCGCGAAGTACGAGTCCTGCGCCCGCCCCCCCCCGGTTAGCAGACGAACCAGAACCCCGAAGCGGTCGGGGAGGGACGTACCAAGGCCTTCGAGGCCATCCCACCCCACGTCAGGTGATCCGCGGGCTCCGCCGCACCGTCGGGCTCCGTCA